CGTGTGAGGGCAAGATAAAGTTCGTGGTGATGGAGAACATCACTCACATCAACTCTCTCTCGCACTTCGATTCGCCAGGTTCGCCTGTCATTGCCCCACCAACATTCCAGCGATACCCGCCTATCTGGTACTATGGCGTATTGAAAGGGTTCTGCTAGAAGGCGTCGAGTAATTAATTGGCCGAGAAGTCGTCTTGACCGCCGCCCCCTTACCTGACTCTACCTCCCGCGCGCCTTTGGAAGGCCTTGTGACTTCTATGACCGCGGTATGCGACTTCCGACTGCGTCTAGAATGACTGCGACGTGAATATATAGGCTGACGAGGCGTCACAAATGCGACTCCGCCAGAACTGAAAGTCGGACTTGAAATAAACTGGTGTGACACCTTTATGGCAGACGTCATGACTACATCTGGATGTACCTCGTTGCTCCGGCGTCCCAGAAGCCAGAGTTATTCCCGGCAATGACGCCGAGATCGAAGTACAGATGCTTCGTGCTCTGCCTCTCCGCGAAGAAGTCGGCTTCCCGCTACATCAACTCGCCACCATCTACGGTACCGAGCGATAGCGGCAGAGAGCCACGCGGTAATGCCAGACGAGCGTAGGCCTCGCCACCTCCGGATCTCGATCTAGACGTGAAAATTTTGCCCACCAGACGTACCAGTCGTGTATTCAGCCGATAACCACTTCAGTTACCCGCGCTGGGGACGTGATAATTCTGGTCCATAGCCCGTCGGCAAGCCTACAGCACGCTCGGCAGCTGCTGAGCGCGGCCACGAGCCTTGCTTTGTCCGACGACTGAAAGCGTACTGCAGGGCCCGTCATTGTGTCGCGTACAACGTCCGCCCTCATAGTTTCTTCCGAAGCCCCCGAAATCGTATTCAAACAAATACACCGCTTGAAGAGACGGCGGTATTATTTCTATAACCGAATTCTCGCAACAAGCTTGAAGGCAGCCTCGAAAGGATGAACCGTAAATCCGCCTCAAAGCCACCAGCGGATTGAGACATCCGTCTGTCGTATAGTGTGTCCACAACGGTCCGGAAGACGAACCAGGGCCTGAACAATCAACGCGAGCTTATTCTTGTCCGCGTCGGGACTTTGTATGGTGATACAGTCATGCATTGTGAAGATGAGCGGTCCGGAGGTAGCGGCTGGTAGATCCAATACAGCCACAAGAAAGTCACCGCGCACGTCGGAATGTCTCCTCTCAACCCGTGCGCCACATTCAGTTGGTCATCATAATTGCCGGCGTTGGTGCACACGTGCCTTGTGTCGTCGCGGACGCGTAGAAGACAGTCGTTGTGCCTCCTCCGCGCAAATTTCGTCGATGCCACGCTGAATAATGGCGGGTGCAGGATGGCCACTGCGCCAAAGCCTGGCCCGATGAAGCAGGGTCAGCGGGGCTCGTGCGGTACGTATTCGTTATTGTCGTTATAGCAGTACATAGTAGCCTAGCCGTTCGCCTCTACGCTTCGGCCTTCAAATGGGCTACTTTGGGTCCGTAGGTGCTTCTTTTTCGGCCACTCCTTCACGACGAAGTTTGGAGCACTACTGCCTGCCGAAAACGTACTTTAATTATTCATTTGTCACCATTCTTGGAGCCCAGATAGCGAAGCTCAACGAAAATGCTCCGACACTGGCGTCATTCACATCCGTGGCCTGCGGTCGCTGTTGTCCTACGTGTTTTGACTGCTCAGATACCAGGCGACGACATCTAGGAAGCTTTGGAAGTAGCAGGCCCTATCCGTTCATGTGCCCCGATTATGGTCTATAGGCTCAAGAAAATCATCAATTGCGCAAATCTGGAAGTGGGCTCTGTCATTCTCATAATCCTCTCGGAGGTACGCCCTCCACCAACAAATATGGACATTGAAACCGTGTTTGGCAATTTTTGGGACGGCAGGATCAACCTCATCCGATACCAAGACGAACTCCGCACGGGTTTCCTTGTGGGACTTGTCCCACGCTGTACTTATCGAGTCGATCAAGATTTCCAGATCTGCGCGTGGCAGATGTCCGCTCGTTGCATCGGGATACAACGTCCTCAGCTTTAGGCTGTGGCCAGCAACAGGATGCCAAATCGTATCTGTAGAAGGGGGAGTAGGTCCGTATACATTGACTGATACCTCCAAACTTCTGGATTCCAGCCCAGTACATGCCAGTATGGCAGATTTTAGTTTGCGAATATCAACGGGCCATTTCTGGTCCATCGTACCGGGCAACCTGCTCGTGGTAACCGTCTGTGTTGTCGAAAACTGTCTTTGTAATCTGAGAGTGTCGACATAGATACACACTTCTCGGCGGTCCGCAAGGTCATTGCTGATGTGAAGACTGCTCATCGTTGAAAAGTCTACCCAGACGAGTCGGTTAGTGCAAGGAGACTTGTCTTGCAAGAGCCTTGGTGTTGGCCTACAGTGCACAGATTGTATAATGATAGTTATTGTACGGCTGGACGTGGTAGTGTTGCGCTGCTTTGGTCAACGACAGCAGGTCGGCGTGAAAGTGGGGTTGCTTCGCGAGTCGGAGGCAAAGTTGTGGCAAACCCGCCAGGCGTACTTTGTGTAAGTCACCCTCTCTTGGTGGCTTAATCGTTACCGACTGCCACAACCGCTCGGCCGCAACCGCGTGATGGTGCCTTGAAACTTCGGAGAGTGCTATGAGATCTATTTTTCACCGCTGAATGACTTGTCAGCACTCGCCTTGGACGAAATGCCATGCAGGACAGACATGGCGAACGACGAGTTCCAAGGCTCTGGCGGCAACCTATCCAGCCTGCCGGTGCAATGTTTTGCTGAAACTTCAGCAATCGATGGAGCGACACGATCCATGGGACACTTTGGTCAAGCTGTGGGTATCGCAGAAATCATGGAGACTTGGAGCGGGGATTTGTCCGGGGCGTTGGTCCTAGACCCTTGTGCGGCCGTTTCTACCTAGTTCTGATGTGAGGCAGTTTCGGCTCCTCCACACTGCAGCGGCTTCAACGCTAGGGTACTCTAGATTAGAGGATGGACGGCCAAGTTGCGGATTGACTCTCCCGCCAACTCCCGGACTGAGCCCAGAAGGAGCCATTGTGGGCCCCCAGACGAGGCTGTCAGCGTTGCAGGCAAGCGTGAACAGGGGTGTCCAGTGCGATGGTGTGGAGAGTCGCGGGGTGAAAGTTGATGGTGTGAAGCAAAGAAGCGGGAGGTGGGCTGAGTGGCAGGGGACACAGACCCTTGTCGGCACCCCTGTACTACCCTGGTCTTACCCCCTGTCCTGGGCAATGTGCAACAAGTCGGCGTTCACGGCGATCCAGAAGCGGCCGCAATCCTTCTTTGCCTCCTTCGCATTCCTCTGCCCCCATTCGCATCCCGTGCTTCACACCACACGTCCTGTGAGCTGCACTCCACACGTCTTGGAAGCCAACATGCTTCACACCACACGTCCTGTAAGCCGATTTTGCTTCACACCACATGTCCTGGAAGCCGATTTTGCTTCACACCACTCGTACTGCAAGCCTCCATGCTTCACACCACTCATCCTGCAAGCCTCACACCACTCGACGTGGCAGCCGATTTTGCTTCACACCACGCTTCCTGCAAGCCGACTTTGCTTCACACCACACGTCCTGCAAGCCTGCAAGCCTGCATGCTTCACACCATTTATCCTGCGAGCTTCACACCACACGTCCTGGGAGCCGATTTGGCTTCACACCACACGTCTTGCAAGCCACTTTACAGCTGTGAGCGAAACCCCCGTCCTCCTGTACACACTGTTTTCTGAGCTCTGGAGAGCACTGACCACGTCCCACTGCGAAAGAAAAGCGGGGCCACCTTGAGGACGAGAAATGAGGAACCTGCTCGATATTAGCCGTAGCTTAGCCGGCTGTCGGCCATGACTGGCCTGGCTCGCTAGGGACACCTCGCCAATTTCCTGACTTCGTCAATCTTCCCGTAAGGTCTGCTTTTGCCCTGATGGCGCCAAATCTTGCCTGGTCCCAGCATCTCGCTATTCGTGACATAATCCTCAGTAAGTCAGAAGGTGACAAGACGCTCACGAACAAAGAGACAGCCCGTGCAGCCAACTGTTCCACTCAATCCGTACGCCGCATCCGATCGAATCTGCTCTTCTTCGGATCGACCAAGGCACCGCCAAAAGGTGGTGGTCGACCGAAGTCCATATCTCCTCTCATGTTGACCGCACTGCTTGAAAAGCTCGCATCCGAACCCTCCTTCCGTTTAGAAGACATGGCTGCATTCCTCAACGACGAGTTCGAAGCCGATGTGACCCGATTTAGCGTCGGTAGAGCCTTGAAGGCGGCTGGGTGGTCACGCAAGTCGACACACAACGTGGCCCAGGAGCGCAATGCACGACTGCGCGACGAGTATATGCATGAGATCTCCTGTATGAGGTCTGATCAGCTGGTGTTCATTGACGAGACTGGAGTGGACCGAAGCATCGGGACCAGGAACAAAGGCTGGGCGCCGCGAGGGAGCAGACCACGCCAAGTAAAACGGTTCCACCGTGGCCGGCGGGTGCAAATACTTCCTGCGTATGCGCAGGATGGCGTGGTCCACTTCCAAGCATACACGGGGTCCACTGATGCCCAGGTATTCACAGAGTTCATCGAGCAACTTCTTCCCTACTGCGGGAGATGGCCCAACCCGAAGTCCGTGCTGATCATGGATAATGCGTCCTTCCATCACTCCGAGCGACTGCAACGGATGTGCGACAGTGCTGGGGTAGTGCTGTTATACTTACCCCCTTACTCGCCCGCCCTGAACCCGATCGAGGAGTTCTTTGGGGAACTGAAGACCTACATCAGGCAGGTGTGGGAGGATCAGATTGACTTTGTCAAGGACGACTTCATCTCCTTCCTCGAAGAATGTGTGGAGGTTGTCGGTCGCCGCAAAGCTAGTGCAGAGGGCCACTTTCGACATGCTGGGATCTCGCTTGAATCAACGCCGGAGTGAATTCCTGTCTTGAACCCACGCAGGCTGGGCACTACATACGCCTAGAGTTACACATACTGCTCCAAGAAGACGTGCACATCTCGAACAAAACGACGTGCCACACCCTCCGACACACCTTTGTCGATGTAAAACTGCGCGTCGTTGTCCTCGTCCACAAGCTCCAGATCAAGGCTCCTCGCCAAGGTCAGATCACGGGCCAGCTCGTATGCCCTCTTCTGGTCCATGCTCCCCACTTGGGAGCAATGCCATCTACAGTATTCCTTCACGGCTTCATCTCGTAGGCCGGGAATGCTAAGCGGCAGCGAACGCGGAACAGAGCTATCCAGCGCACAAGAGGTCGGTGGCTCCGGATATCGCTTGGCATCTTGCTGCGATGGGATATAGTTGTTGACGATCATCGGTTGCACACCTTCAATGTGCGAAGGAGAGACTTTCCTTTTCTTCCTACGATCGGTGAGCTGCTGCTCTTCGGCATATAGTTGCTCGCGAATATAGTCCGGGACGTCGCCAGGCCCCTGCAATGTGTTACCTTCCCGCACAAACTTGACAAGGCTCTTGAGCTGATGCGTCATGAGTTTGTAGTGTTTGTGGCCATTGGGGTCCAACCAGCAGTACGGCCCACGGTCACATGGCGGTCCTGGGCAACGGAACACTTGGTACACAAGCCTGTACGGCGATGTGTCACCGAGCGATGCTTGCTCCGCATCGATTCTCACGTCAGACTCCGCAAGCTGCGTGGCAGTGGCACCACGCCCGGCGGTACGGGCCGCCTTGCCACTCTCCGCGAACTTGAACGAGGCGTCAACCTTCAGCTTCTTCCCGATGCGGAGAAGATGGCTCCAAGCTTGTAGCTGCCGTTCCACAGCGGACCAATCGATCTCAAGCTCCGCAAAGCTCTTTGTTATGGCTGGCTCGGATTTCTCGTTCACGGATACGACGATGGTTGATGAATCGGGTCTACTGGGCTTCGACGTCGTCTTCGCGATGTCGCGGACCTTTGCGCACAATTTCTCACTCCAGAACTCGCTGGGCGCCACCACGAGATTGTCTTCTGTATGCATGCGGATCTTCCTGTTATTGAAGGCCACCTTCCATTCCACGACATACTTGATGCAGACCGGCGGGTTGTAATCGTACGACTGAGTCGGCGCCCAGTCGGCATACGGCACGAAGGGCAAAGTCGGACGCTGGGGCCGGAGCTGGCTTCGTGGAGGGGGATGTGCATCGTTACGGGGTGGATGGATACTGGAAGCATCAGAGGATTGGCTTGCGGTCTCTGTGTCACTGAAAGTCTCGTTCACTGCGTTCATGTCGCTGTTGGAAGAGGGAAAACCGACAGCAATTCGACTCTGGGTCCTTCGTGACAAGGGCCCGTGCTGGTCAGGGATCCACCACGTCATGCCGCCGCTGACGACGCTGTCAAACATACTCCGATGCGCTGCAAGTCGCGGGTAACATGCGATAGCTTTGATCACACAGTAAGGCGATGCTGGGTACGACAAGAGGGTACTCTTCTGTTAGCAACTGTCGCAGTCCCAATAGGAACCCTGCTCGCTTGCTGGCGGCATCGCTGGGGGAGTGGAATGATTGGTGCCTGGATGCAGGCCTTCTGGCTGCCTCCCACTCCGCTAGCCAATCAACGGGCTCCCCTGGGCGCCGTTGTGCCAACACAAGGCGTCCTGGCCTCCAGTTGGCCTCCAACCACCTGTCCTTTGTGAGGCTGCCGACTTCCTCGCTGGCGGCTATGCTGTCCGCCCTGCGATTGCGAGCGATGCTTGGGCAGCTGGGCCGTTGACCTCCCATCCCCCACAAGCTGACCCTTTGATTGTGTTCTCTCCATCCAGCGAAATCCACGACACTCGACATGCGCTCGGCGGCCGTGGCCCACTATGGAAGGGCTCGGCATTGCGGCGAATGTCATCGCGGTCGTAGACCTGTCTGTGAAAGTCGCTGATTGGTGTGTCGAATACTGCAAGTCCGCCAAGAATGCCAAGGATGACATTGTCCGATTCCGCCTGGAAGTGATCGTGCTCCAGAGCGCTGCGGATGGCGTCAAGGAGCTACTCTCTGGGCCAAGCAGGGAGAGACTCAAAGCATCGCAGCAGCTTTGCAACTCTGTCCGGCACTCCGAGTCTGAACTCCAAGCGGTGTACGAACGACTTCGTCCAACGTCGGCACGCGGGGCATTGACCCGGCTTGGGCTCCGCACTCTAAGATGGCCGTTCCAGGGCAGAGAAGTCGAAAGGATTATGCAAAATATTGCGCGATGCACGCAGGCGATCAATCATGCCCTACAGGTCGATCAGACGTACGAAGATCTCGCCAAAACTACGACTGTGGAGCTGACTTAGCTATGGCTAGGAACATTCTTCTCGATCTCGACCGGAGGACTGTGCTCGCTCGACTCGAGTCTGAAATTGCCAAGGGTGCTTCGTTCGACTCTCGCGCCGAGGAACATCATGCGACATGTCTTCAGAAAACTCGCGTCGACCTGCTGCAGCAGATATCCTCTTGGGCTCGCGATCCAAGTGCCGAGGCTGTCTTTTGGCTCAACGGCATGGCGGGAACCGGAAAGTCGACCATAGCTCGGACAGTCGCCCGTGATCTGGCCCGCAATCATCGTCTTGGCGCTAGTTTCTTCTTCAAGAGAGGCGAGACTGATCGGGCCAGCATGTCGAAATTTTCCCCTACCATTGCAGTCGACTTGGCGAACAACATACCGACGATTGCTCCGCATCTTAAGGACGCCATGGAAAGTTGACCCGGCATCTTGAGAAAGGCGGCACATGAGCAGTTTGACAAGCTCGTTTGGCAGCCACTTTCAATGATAGCCTCTGATCCATCGAGCCCAATACCCGTCGTCGTCCTCGACGCGCTGGATGAATGTGAGAATGAAAAAGACATCGAGCTGATGTTCCGTCTCCTGTCGCGTGCCGCAAAGGGGCAGCCAGCGCGACTGAAGGTATTTCTAACCAGCAGACCAGAGTTGCCGATACGTCTCGGTTTCAAGGACATTGAGGGCGAGTATCAGAACTTGAGGCTTCATGAGATATCTCAACATGTGATCACGCATGACATCAACACGTTTCTCCATGTGGAGCTGCGGAGAATCCGACGCGACTACAATTCGACGGTCCGGCAGGAGCGACAGCTACCAGACGAATGGCCGGGTGCCTCCGAGTTGATAACCCTTGCTCACATGGCAATCCCGCTTTTCATTTTCGCGGCCACCGTGTGCCGTTTCATCGGTGATCGAAGGCTCGGGTCGCCAGACCGACAACTCGCCAAGGTACTTCTTCGAGCAAATGGGGATGTCTCGCAACTGGCTGCAACCTACCTGCCTGTGTTGGAAAACATGATCGATAGAACCTCCGTTCAGCAAAGGGAGGACAGTGTTCAGGCGTTTCGAGTAATTGTCGGTGGCATTGTCGTCCTCGCGAGCCCTCTGCCGGTACCAGCGCTGGCCCGAATTCTCGACATCTCTGAACAGGACATCGAAGACAAACTGGACGTGCTACACTCCGTGCTTAGTGTCCCGGAAACGACAGAGACACCGGTGCGGCTGCTTCATCTGTCCTTCCGCGATTTCCTAGTGGACCCAAGGCAACGAGAAGATCATCCGTTCTGGGTAGACGAAAAAGAGACCCACCACGGGTTGGCGTTGCATTGCCTGCGTGTGCTGGAATGTCTCCGAGAAGACATGTGCGATATGAAGTTTCCTGGGACTCTTCGGTCGGCCATCGATCAACACATAATCGAAGCCTCTGTCCCGCCAGAGGTTCAGTATGCCAGTCTCAATTGGGTCTATCACTTAAAAAGCGGAGGGGCTGCTCGCCATTGCAACCAGGTCATGGCCTTTCTGGAGTGCCATTTCCTTCATTGGTTAGAATCATTAAGCCTCATAGGAAGATCAAGGGAAAACGTTCATCTCGTTGCGGCGTTGCAACTACTCTACAAGGTCCGTAGTGCGCATAGGTCATGGGCAGATGCACTCAGCTAATACCAAGTCAGGACGAGGGGCCCAAAGAGCTGTTTGAATTCCTGGATGACGCAATGCGTTTCGTCCAGGCACATAGTTTCGCCATCGAGAACACGCCACTTCAGGTGTATTCCTCCCTCCTTGTCTTTTCGCCAAACAGGAGCAAAATTCGTGTTACATTCGGAAGCCAGATCCCGCGATGGATATCTCTACGGCCAACGGTAAATGACAACTGGGGACTATGCATGCAGACGCTCGAGGGCCATGATGGACCGGTCCACTCGGTGGCCCTCTCGGCCGATTCGACGCTCGTGGCGTCGGGCTCTTTCGACAGGACGATCCGGCTCTGGCGCGTGGCCACGGGCGAGTGCGTGCAGACGCTCGAGGGCCATGATGGAACGGTCTACTCGGTGGCCTTCTCGGCCGATTCGACGCTCGTGGCGTCGGGCTCTGGGGACAAGACGATCCGGCTCTGGCGCGTGGCCACGGGCGAGTG